GACGGGCGCGAACAGCTGACGGGCGCGAACAGCTGACGGGCGCGAACAGCTGACGGGCGCGAACAGCTCCTTTTGATGCGTTCTGAAGACTGACACGCGGTGGGTAGGGCAAATACCGAACGTTCAGCGCTCTGCGAATCTCAAGCAACTCGTTCACAGGTTTCTGCGAGCGGATGCTCGGGATTCGCCGAATGCCGCATGTGTGGAGCCGCCTCAAAGGAACGATGCACAGAAAAACGGCAAAGAAAAAATGACATGCAGAAACTGCAATATGATAACTGCTTGTAAAAAATGTAAATAAACTGCAAACACAGAACTGAGTACAGATACTGTAGATAGACTGCATACGGCCAAACTGCAGAAAACTGCAACCAGGAAAACGCGTGCGCTGGTACATGCGCAGCTCCAGGTCAGACCTGCCACAGCGAGCGCGACGTAAGGCGGCGCCACACATTCGGCATTCGCCGAGCGGCCAGCTACTCGTACTTCTCGCCCAATCCCGAGCAGATTTTGCGTTCGGCGAATGTTCGGTCCCTTTGGTGTGTCCTAAAGATCGACACGCGGTGGGAAGGGCGAATACCGAATATTCGGCATTGGGCGAATCGCAAGCAACCCGTTAACACTACTTCCGATTTGACGAGCGGTTGCTCGGGCTTCACCGAATGTCGCATGTGTGCCGAATGTCGCACCTCAAGAGAACGCACGGAAAAACCGCAGAAAAAACTGCATGCAGAAACTGTAGTAGAGAACTGATTGTAGAAACTTCAGGTAGATTGCAAACAGAAAAAACTGCATACAGATGCTGGAGAGAGCAAACGGGAAAATTTCAGCCAAACTGCAAAAAGAAAAACTCTATACAGAAACTGCAAACAGGAAAACTGCAAACAAACTATAAATAGGAACACTAGATACGAACACTATATACAAACGTCAAAGAGGAAAACTTCACACAAACTACAAGAAGAAAAAATGTATGATTCGTAATAAGATAAATACACGAGAAGCTGCAAACTGTACAAAAATATCAGACGAGAGACCACTGACAAATTAATGGTGCTTCAACCGTACCTACTTCTACCCCCGTTACCTCCGACAGCGTGCACAGGCCCAGGTGCTTTACACACTGCTCCAGGTCAGACCTGCGACAGTGAGCGGGACTTCTAACAGACCGCTGCACACGAAAAAATGCAAATAAACTGCAAAGAAAAAACTGCATACAGAAACTGCAAACGGTAAAACTGCATACAAGCTACAAACGAGAAAACTGGATACGGACATTACATACAAACGTCAAAATGAATGTTACTCACAAACTGCAAACAAAAAATATGTGATTGGTAATAGGAAATGCACAGGAAAACTCCAAACTATAAGCTGCAAACGAGAGACTACTGACAAATTAATGATGCTACAACACTACCTACTTCTACAGACGCCACTTTCGAAGAGTACAGGCGCTGCTCGCGCTTCTCCGTCAGACTTGCGACAGACAGCAGGACGCCCAGCAAAATGAAAGGCCTTGGAAAAACAGCAGGCAAACTGCAAACAAGAAAACCGCACACAAAACTGCAAATACAAAAACTGCCAATAGAAACTACAAACTGCAAGCAGGAAAACTGCATACAAATACAGTAGAAAGACTGCATACGGCAAAACTGCAGAAAAACTACAAACAAAAAAATCTACTGCCAAAAAACTGCAAACTAAGTGCGAATAAGAAAACTACATAGAGAAAAGGCAAATAGAAAAACTGCATGCCGAAACTGTATATAAACTGCACACTCGAAACTGCATACAGATACTGCAGGTAAACTGCAGACAAACTGCAAACAGTAAAACTCCAGGTAAACTTATTTTTGATTTTGAAGTTTCGTTCAGTTTGTCAGTTTGACTTGTGGCAGGAGCTGTCTCAAACTCAATGATGGTGCACTCCATATTCGGTAGAACAGTTGAAACATAATCGCAAAAGACAAAACTATTAATCATTCTTCTCAATTTGTTAAGAAAACATAAAATAAAAATAATAACAACTACGACAACAGAATTTCCACTGTTACCTTTAAATACTTGAAAAATGCATAAGTTACTTTTTAACACCTTCATCAAACTACGTAAGTGATGATATTTGTTTCCATTACATCAATGCATATACAGGGTCTTAAAAGCTATGTTAATAGTTATTTAAGGCCCTATTAAGTTATTTAAATAATAATTTATTTTATCAAATAAAGTTGATTTTTATTACCGTTAAGAAAGGAAGTTATTAAGAATACAAAACTGTTTTTATATGCACTTCTCGAGAGCGTCGTGCCCAAGGCTTCAGATTACCTGCATATGCATTAATGTAGTTTCCTGGGTCCATTCATCCTAGAGTTAAAGCTTGTAGTGTTCGACGAAAGGAAGCATGATTCAAAATAAAGTTTTACGAACACAGGCTGCCTAATCCTGTAAAGCAATGTACTGTTGAATCATGTAGTGTTCATGCAACGGAGCTTGTTGCGAAACAGTTTGTTATAAAAGGAGGTTACTTCATTCTGCAAAACAAAGTAAGATGGATTTTTTTAAAACATGAAGTGTTCCATGTAACGCTCCGAAATAAAGTGTAGAAAGAAAAAAAAATATTGGTTGTAGGAAAGGGGTACTATATCCGCTGGGCATGTAGAAATGAGGCGGCATGTAGGAAGTAGGTATAGCTGTTGGGCAAGTAGGAATGAGGTGTAGTGGCAGGGCATGTGTGAATAAGGTATAGTCGCAAGGCATGTAAGAATGAAGTATATCCGCATTGGGTGTTGGAATGAGGAATATCCTCTGAGTTTCTAGAAATTGGGTATAACAACTGGGAATGTAGAAATCGGGTAAAGCGGCAGGGCATGAAGGAATGAGGTACATCCACATGGTATGAGAAATGTATATCCGCATGCCATGTAGTGATGAGGTATATCCGCATGGCGTGTAGGAATCGGATATAACCCCTGGGAATGTAGGAATGAGGTACATCCACATGGCATGCAGGAATGACGTCTAGTCGCATAGCATGAAGGAAAGACGTATACTCATTGGGCATGTAGGAGTGAGGTATATCCGCGTGGTATTAGAAATGAGGTACACCTGCATGTCAAGTACGGACGAAGTATATCCCTGTGGTATGAGAAATGAGGTAAATTCGCATATAACAGGAGGTACATCGGCATGACATGCAGGAATGAAGAATAGTCACATGGCATGAAGGAATGATGTATACTCGTTGGGCATGTAGGAATGATTATACTCGTTTGGCATGTAGAAACGTCGTATATCCGCATGGTATGAGAAATGAGGTACATCCGCATGGCATGCAGAAATGAGGTACATCCGCATGACATGCAGAAATGAGGTACATCCGCATGACATGCAGGAATGAGGTACATCCGCATGACATGCAGGAATGAGGTACATCCGCATGACATGCAGGAATGAGGTAAAACCGCATGACATGCAGGAAAGACGTACAGTCGCATGCCATGTACGAATGATGTATACTCATTGAACGTGTAGGAATGCGATGTAGCCACATGGCATGTACGAATGATGTATACCCGCTGAGCGTGGGGAGTGAGGTCTAGCCGCAGCGCATACGCGAGGAAGCAGCCACTCACCCGGCGGGCAGCGGCGACTGGGCGTCGGGCGGCGACACCACCACGCGGTTGCGCGCGCGCTGCCTGGGGTCCGGGTACACGCCCAGCCCCACCAGCAGCTCGCGGCCCGTCAGCTCGCGCGCCGCCGCCAGCGAAGCCTCCAGCGCGAACGCCCCCTGCGCGCCGCCCGCGCCCGCGCTCGAGGACGACGACGACGAGGAGGAGGGCACTGGCAGCGGCAGCCCCACGGCCGACAGCGCGCGCTGCATGGGCGACAGCCCCAGCGCGTCCAGGCGCTCTGCGCAGACGGTGGCGGCGCGCGTTATACACCACTCCGCACGCTCACTGATGCATTAAATGGCGCCCGTTCAACCACTTCACACACTCACTGATGCATTAAATGGCGCCCGGTCAACCACTCCACACACTCACTGATGCATTAAATGGCGCCCGGTCAACCACTTCACACACTCACTGATGCATTAAATGGCGCCCGGTCAGCCACGCCACACACTCACTGATGCATTAAATGGCGCGTATTAAAACCACTTCACTCTCTCATTGATGCATTAAATGACGCCCGGTCAACCACTCCACACACTCACTAATTCATTAAATTGAGCCCTTTCAACCAGTTCACACACTCACTGATGCATTAAATGGCGCCCGTTCAACCACTCCACACACTCACTATTGCATTAAATGCCGCGGGTCAACCACTTTACTTATTGATTGAATGACGTGGGTTAAATCACGCACCACAATCGCTGAAGGCGCGGTTTAAACTACTCCACACACTCACCGATTCACTCAATAGTGCGAGTTAAGCCATTCCATACACTCAGTAATTCATTAAATGGTGCTGGTGAACCACTCCATTCACTTACTGATGGATTGAATGGTGAGTGTTAAACCACTTCACACACACACACTTATGCATTAAATGCCGCGGGTAAACCACTTCATTCTCTCACTTATTGACTGAAAGGCGCGGGTTAAACCACTCCATATTACTGATTGATGTTTCCGGGTACGTAAACTGCTAAGGTCATTAGCTCCGTAAGTGTAGTGCATGATTTTACCGCTGGAGTTCGCAGTGATCTTCCCTACTGACTCGCGAGATTCGGCGCCGACCTACACATTGGGTTGAGGGATTTCATCCATCTAGGTATCTTCCACCAGCGGTGCATCGCTCCAGCCGGGACAGGCTCTAAGCTCACGGCAAGTGTGATAGTGTAGTGCAAGTGAGTTTAAGTGTGTGTTAGTAAGAGGTGAGGATAGGATATGGAAGGAAAAACGGATGATCACACTTGGTTTGTTACAACACTGCTCCGGCATTTAATCCTTTCTCGTTCATTTCCTATCTCCTCCCCTTTCCTTACACACACACACACACACACACACGTTTAAATGCACTACATTACCACGCATATCGGGAGACCATTTAGAAGATTTCAGCGTGTCCGGAGTGAGGCGGTGTCCCGGTGGAGGGGATACCTGGAGAGTAAAACCTCTCAAGCAGTCGTCTTGATCAACGCTTCTTGATCTTCTGAGAAAGCAGTGGCGAAGCATTGTCACCTCCCGGCCATATCAGGCACTACACTCACGGGACTAATGAACAACATTGTCGACGGCTGCGGAAACACGAAACATTCACTCATAAAATACACGAGAATCACGTGACTGCCACTTTGTTATGTTGGTGGATTGTGTATACACAGGGCGTCATTGCAGAAATTAGAAAGGTGGATTGTGTATACATTATTTGTAGATTGTGTAGTCATTAGAAAACACTACCGTTTCCTCCTTATGCAAATGGACACATGAGGTCTTCCAAACCAAAAGAGCTAAGTAACAAGATTTTCCAACCAAAGGTTTTGACATCTTAAATATTATATAAATTTCTGCCAGTACACTGTTCAAAGAGCGATGTTCCAAACAACTACCAAGTAGCTGTAGCATCTACTTAGTGATGATTTTTCTTGTATGCAAGAATACCAATTCATTCTGTATCAATTGATTTTCCGAAATAATGGTACTTCGCTCCTCTGGTTTGCAAGCCTCTTTTGCTGAGAAACTTTTCGTTGCCACACAGTAGTTCCGTGACAACATCCGGATGATCGGGCTAGAGTTGACGCGCTGAGAAAATTCTTTTTACATAAAAATCTCCCTCTTGTGATTAAAAATGGCAAAAAAACACAAATATGTGAATTGAAGGAATTCTTCTTCTTCTTCGACGGTTTCTACCCCTTAGAGTGTGCCGTTTTCGATTTCCATAATTCTCGGTCCTCCCATTGACCCCATTCCAATCCTTTCTCCTCCATTACTTCGTATATATATATTTCTTCCAGGTTAAGCCAGGCCTACCTCTTCTACGTCTTCTTTCAGGTATCCAATTTATAATTTGTTTTGGCCATCTCTCATTTCGCATCCTCTGGACATGTCCATACCATTGAAGAGCTTTATTTTCTAGCCTTCTGGTTATGGTTGTTTGAACCCCAACTCTTTTCCACACCACTTCGTTCCTTATTTTATCCAGTCTTGTTATCTGCAAAGACCTTCTCATAAAGTCGAGCGCTACCGACCGTATTCTCTCTCTTGAAGGAATTGGGGTGCATATTACGAGAACCTTAGTTTTCTCGCGGTCCAACAATCAATCCGGAATCCGCCAGCTAGCCGTCAGAACTGCAATGCACTCGCTGATTGCAAAGAATATAAATTATATCAGTCATCAATACGAAACGAGCAAACACAACTCGCAAAACGGTTTCGGTGTCAGAAATCGTGACGGAAGTTTGGAAAACACATTCTCTTCAGGAATCTTATGCTTCTGAGGCCAAAACAACAATGAATTTGATTGATAACCATATGAAGAAAACGGTGATGATTTTCCCACCTAAAATGACTCCTCTGTTTATCAGATTCCCTTCGCATATTTCTATTCAGGCGTCACATATTTTAGCAATGCAGTTTCCCCGCACTCTGTACAATCGAGGAAGAAATGTGGTGATACTCACGAACGTCATTGCAGGATTTGTAAAGGCGTCGGGCCTGCTGCACAGGAAGAGGTTCGCTTCCTGTAGATTCCTTGCGCAGGAACTCTGAAGAAAAAAAAAGATTTGGTAGTTCACCGATATTGGTTTTTCGTTTACGACGTAGGAACAAGTAATTAAAGCGTGTGATTCCGCGACTGAAGTCAACAGAACCTTGGGCTGTGCCGGTAGGACGCGTCCTGGGTAAAATTGTCAAAGATTTGGCTGTCTTTCTGAGATGTCGGCACTCTTGGCGAACAAGTCGATGGTAATAAATCATGATCCCAAAACGATCGCGGTTTTTAAACATCAGTTTTTTTAAAACAACGTTAGTAACAATTAATATTCACGGATGGGGGTTAATTTGACGGTGGACGCAATTATTAATTTTTTAATTGGGATATTGTAACTGACAAAATAAAGTCGAAAAAGTAATCAATGATGATGAAAAATGATCAGCTCACTCGTGCATTTCTTCCCTTTTTTCTTCAATATATTTCAAATTTGAAATAAGTAAATACTATAACAAATAAGTAATAACAAATGAAACCAAATGAAGAAAGTTACCCATTGGTAATTTACTTGGGATCCTTTTCAAATCTATGTTAAGAAGACGATTAAAATACTATTACATTGTTACGAAGATTAAGAATATGAAAATGCAAGGGGAAATATATAGATAAATTTATATTGGTGGTCCTACCTCGTATACGCCTGGCAATGTGTTGGACGCGCTATGCGAACCAATCAATGGTAACATCGATGGTAATAAAACATCGTCCCAAAACTATTGATATTTTTAAACAACAATGTTAATTAATATTCACGGAGGGGGGTTAATGTGATGGTGGTTGCAATTATTACTATTTTTAAATTGAGATTACAGTTGACTCTGGTTATTGCAAGCTTCTGGGGCTAACATGTTTGGTCCACTATATCTGATGTCAAAATTAAACAGATTTTCTCCACAATGATATTATTAACACAGGTGCAGCAAAATTCATTAACGGCACGAACTGAAATTTTCAATATCTTTATTTTTCCGTAATAATTATTTTTAATTGTTTGCATTGTGCGTTTTTAATTAGTAATTTCTCTAGACCCTCTCAAGAGTTCGTGCTCTCTCCATACTTGATTCTGCATTGTCCGTTGTCTCAAGTAACGTAATGCAGTCCAGTCCCCCTTCAATGCCTCTTACAATGTTGGTACACCGTTCCGTCCTCCGATAGCCCTTTCTCTCGCCTAATATTGTACGAGCTCCCATTAATTTCAACGTTCATTATAGTCGAGGTTTATTTGCACTATAACTGTACTCTTATGCTTATTTTAATTCAAGTGAAACGGGACCAGTGACTTAAGTTCGCTATAACCGAGAGTTCGCTATAACCGAGAGTTCACTATATCCGGGTTCGCTATATCCGGGTTCGCTATATCCGGGTTCGCTATATCCGAGTTCGCTATATCCGAGTTCGCTATATCCGAGTTCGCTATATCCGAGTTCGCTATATCCGAGTTCACTATATCCGAGTTCGCTATAACCGGAATCAACTGTAAGTGACAAAACACATTGGTAAAATGAACAATTGGTGTCTGGTCGTATCTACCTCGTATGCGCCTGGCCATGCGTTCGGCACGCTCTGCGAACCAGTCGTGGCTGATGGCGGAGTCGGGCGTGGGGTGGTGGTCGGGCCAGCGGCCGCACGCGTAGCGGTAGAAGTCCTCGCACGGCGCCACCGTCGGGTCCATCGACTGCAGCAGGTTGTCCGCTACGCAAGCGGCCATTACGCTCATATATACCAACATCTTTTTTGCTTTCTCGTAACCGCTTACGCATTAGAGAGAAAGGTTATGAAATATTACGCGATGAAACGGTGTATTTTTGGCAGAAAAACGCTTATTCCAGGGCACTGGCAACGAAAAAGTCAATAAACCAGATGCTAAATTTAGGGGGGGACACCCTCTAACCACGATCTGTTTTGTTTGTCCTTGATACTGAAAAATGGATTAACGTTAAAACGTCTGGCCGTACTTCTGTGGATAGGTCTGTTCGTGTGTGAACACGAACACTAGCTGCTAAACCGTTCAACCGATTTGTTCCAAAATTGTTACTCACCTATCGATCTGACTGATGTTGTGGCCCCTTGGATTTGAAACTAATATTTTAATTTTGGAGGATACTTCACATGAAGCCCCTGGAGCATTTTCAAAATTTCTAAAAAGGGGCTCCATTGTTTTTGATTAAATATTGCGGTCGAAAGGACATTTAAAAGAATTACCTAAAGTGTACATGCCAATTGATAATAATATTGGTAAATGAAAGTTTACACAAAGCACTTGTAATTTTTCGTTAACAAATTCTTACGCTAATAATAAAACTGTAAAATTGTTAGTGATAAATAAAGCTAGCAATTACCTGCTCGAATGCACTTTGGTGTTGAACACACTTCTACTTTCGAGTGTTTGTCTGAAACAGAGGAAACAGGAAAATTAATACTAATAACTGTTGGTATATTTTATCACTGAAAGTGAAATGCAGCTGAAAACATTATATCAACGCTAGGGAAGTACCGAGATCTCCGTAATCAGTTTTTGCATGTCTATGGTGGAAAGATACGGCTGTGGTATTGCGCATCGTATTCGGCTTCAGCCAATGAACTTCAGGCACCAGATTGCGTCACAGTATTAGTGGGAATTTTAAATGCAGACAGATATGAAAATTATAGCCTTGTTACAATATATACGAAGATTTCTTTTAAATATAGAATCTTTTACACCTTCATCGTGTTCTATTTGGTTCATCGCCGTTGAAAATTGTCCCTTTATTCCACTTTCAAAATGTTTCTCAACTCTTCTCGCTCTCCATGCAACATGGGGGCCAGAGTCTGATTTGACTTTTTAAATGAAGTACCAGTGCTGTGGTCACGTGGTTCGTGACGTATACTGTTGCTGTGCAGAACGAGCAAAAAAACCGGACTATAGCTCACACTTCTTTCCACCATGCTCTCGGAGATGAATTGCAGATGGTGTGCTCCAGTTTGAGGCATTCTCAGTTGGCGGAACGTTGTATGTCCTATGATCTGTTGAAAACAACGCTTATTTACTGAAACACGTTTCACGTCTCAAGACAGTAATTGTTTTTCGTATGTAGTTGATAAATTCTTAAAACATTTTATGTGTATTTTACACATTCAGCAATAGGGTTAAGTAAGCTATAAGAATTTTCCACGCTTCCAAGATTTCATTGTAATGTATGAGCAACTGAAGCAAGATATAAACTTTTTTTCATATTACGTATGTTTTAAGGACATGCTCCCAAAAAGGGTTTTCGGATAGAATGTCTTGGAAAGCAATAATAAATGTAAAACCAACTGACTCCTTATAAAAATATTTTATGTTAGTTGAACGATATCTGGCGGTACAATTCTGTAGTTTTCGCGGCACCCAATTTGATTTCACAACTTGAATGAGGGATTAAAAAGAGCTGCTCTTTCAAATTGTGAAGGAAGTCGGTGCAACGTGCATACCAAGGTAATCGCACGCTTCGAAACTTGGAGTAAGAGGAAGCAGAAATATTAAATATCCCTAGCCGTAACGTTCGATAGGTAAATAGAATGTTGGTGATAAAAAGAGCTACAGAAGCTGAATTGTAAAAACACTGTGTGGTTCAACCAAATCCACTCTTGATTAGTAAAATGAACCAACACTACAGAAAGATCACAAAGAACAAATGACAGAGAAAATATTTTCTTGAAACGGAACAATTAAATGTGGAAAGGACAGGGGAAGGCAACCCTTAAAAGATAGGACAGAGTCTCGCCACGTAAAATAAGGTATCAATTCAATTCAATTCAATTCACTCTAGTTTTTATAGGCATCCAACTTTCATATACGATTAAGCTAGTGAGGACGCTCGAGTTTGACATGTTCGAGCGTGTTTGGGCAAGTAAATGCCCGCACTCTAGTCCATGCCTTGCACCATTCCCGCACTATGGTCCTGCTCGCCTTCCAACTCCCACATGAACTGATGGCGACACTCGAGGCTGCAAAGCTCGAGCGAAAAAGGTCGAGCGAAAAAGGTCGAGCGAAAAAGGTCGAGCGAAGAAGGTCGAGCGAAAAAGCTCGAACGGAAAAGCTCGAGCGGAAAAGCTCGAGCGAACAAGCTCGAGCGAACAAGGTCGAGCGAACAAGGTCGAGCGAACAAGGTCGAGCGAACAAGGTCGAGCGGACAAGGTCGAGCGGACAAGGTCGAGCGGACAAGGTCGAGCGGACAAGGTCGAGCGGACAAGCTCGAGCAAATGGTACGCCTTGCAGCACTCACTGTTGAGAGGAGCGTTGCGCAATACTCACACTTGTAGGCGACGATGGCGAGGGCGATGGCTAGGAGCAGCACCACGAACAGCAGCACCATCAGCGCCATCAGCAGCGCCGCGTACCCGCGCGGGCTGCCCTCGGCCGTCCGCTTGTAGCTGCACACACACACACGAGCATGAGAACAGAAGTCAGCTTCCACACACAGCGCCGTTCGTAGTTGCACACACACACACTCACACACTCACACACACTCTCACACACACGCATGAGAACAGAAGTCAGCTTCCACACACAGCACCGTTTGTAGCTGCACACACACACACACACACGCATGAGAACAGAAGTCAGCTTCCACACACAGCACCATTTGTAGCTGCACATACACATACACATGCGCAAGCATGCACACTAGTTAGCTCTACTCACGGCACCGGCTGAAGTGGCTCAGGGCATGTAGCTGTATGCACACTACTTAGCTGCTACTCACAGTGAAATAATTATGAGTCGTCATTGCCAACAATATTATTTATTGTAATAGCAGCTTTCGATGGCATAGCCATCATCTTCAGCTTTCTAGTACAAGGCGAAAAACAAAAAAAACATTAAAACGTGAATATTTTTTTGATTTGCCAACAAAATTATAATAAAAGATTACTAATAATTTACAATTTTTAGAATGTTAAATGCATTTTTAACTGTGCATTATTAGTAATTTCTTATTATAATTTTGTTGTCAAATCAAAACAATATTCATGTTTCAATATTTGTTTGTTTTTCTTCTTGTACTAGAAAACTGATAATGATGGCTAAGCCATCGAAAGCTGCTATTACAATAAATAATATTGTTGGCAATGACGACTCATATAATTATTTCATTGTAAATGACATCGAAAACGCACCACAATACCAATATTCTTCTCACAGCTCCGTTTGATTGAGTAGTGAGGGCGTCAACTGCTAAGGTCATTATTTTCGAATATATAAGGCATGTTTTAGTACCGCCGAACGTGGCGTTGACCTTTCTCTGCTGGATGGCGAGATCCTACGCAGGTTTTCCTTTGCACGGGTTATCTCCCACCAGATGCCACGTTCCAGCCGGGACAAGCTCTAAGTTCCCGACTGGACTCTTGACATATGTGGTAGTGTAGTGAATGTGTGTGTGTGTAAGTAAGGGGGTGAATACGATAAGGAAGATGAGGTAAAATTCGGGCGCGGTCTACCGATTAGAAAAGTCTTCCTGCTAGAATTCTCCGACTGAAATACCACGTAGGTATCTAGTGTCGAAAGTCTTGCAACCGTGGGGTCTCGAATATTAAGACTTTCCGGTCAGAAGCACTGCAGTAACATCAGTTGATACCCCGGGCGACGTCAGCCGATATCATAGGCAGAGGTGACCTACTGAATGTAGCTGTGGTCACATCCGCACAAGTTAGATCCCAGTCATAGCACCAGGTAAGATGTCTCGGTGCATCAACTGATGTGAGATTTTTCTTTTGACCGTTTGTTTAAATTTGTTTGATTTGATTCCGGCCACGTCGTCTGCAAAGGTTATTAGTCCCGTATGTGAAGTGCATGTCCCGTCTGTTTATCGCGAAGGTTGGCGGTGAGCTTTCCCAGTTGCATGGCAAGATACAGCGCAGATCTACGTCGGCTAGTGGGGTTTTCCCAGCCAGGTATCTCCCACTAGCGACGCACAGCTACAGCCGGTACAAGATCCAAGTTCCCGACTGCTACCCCGGCAAGTGTCGTAGTGCAGTGCATGAGTGTGTGTAAGTAATGGGTGAGGACAGAGCAAGGGAGATAGAGGAAAGATCGCGCCCGTTTATTAGGGTACTGCTCCGGCATTCGCCTGGTATTGATCGGAGCAACCGCAGAAAAGGACCGATGGAAGCATCCGGCCACTATTGTGACGTAGTGAAATAAGAAATAAATTTCAATAACAAAATAAAAATAATATATTAAAGATTATGTACAAGTTACAATGAATTGCTAATATTAAAACACTCCGGCAACCTTTTCCTTTCAGAACACTGCTTTACCGCAGAAAATACAAGCCACGCGTGATGCGCGCTATCGGACCTCGGTCCCGTGACAATTACCGTCACATGGCCTGACGCCAAAATTTAACCCGGTCGTGGCGACCGTGTGCCTACAGCACGTGAGATTGTCTGGCCCTTACTCTCCGGACATCTCGCCCACACTCCTACACCCCTTGTACACACGTACAAGCTTCCCGATGCAAACTGAATGAGAACGCGGGCGCAGATGGCGCCGCGTTAAATAGTTGAGGCTGACACCCCCACCACTGTTCCATAGATAGACTCGCCGGCCAGCCTTGGTTTACGCCCACACACAGAATTCTCAGGTTGGCTGCCTGCTTCCGTAAACGAGGCTCGCCGGCAGCATCCTCGGAGTTCACAGCCTCCGGTATTTTT